ATTACACACTTAGTTTAACTTTTGTTCCTTTTGAAAATCCTTTCCTTTTTCCATTAGAAAATTTATGCGACGAATTGATCGCAAAGAACTGACTGCGATGAATTGTCCTGCGACTAACTGACCAGTCACCCTTTGTACGGCTTTTAAACGTGTATTTTTCGATGAAAAAGTTTTATCGATGCAGTTTTTCGCTTTGATCAAGAACGGAATGTTTATGTTAAAGGAAAACGTTTGAAAAGTCGACAAATTATTAAAATATTGCTGAAAAACTTATTCGGTCTCCTACGAAGCTTCCTTGACAGGCTTTCCTGCAGTCTCTCTTACTAGAGATAGTCCTAGACCTATCCTACCGGGAAGCATTTGAAAGAAGACTTTGGAAATATCTCCTTGAGAAACGCGTTCAATTTTAGAAAATTATACACTATTCGATTAGTTGATGAGCTACACATTCTATTATGGATTCGGCTTAAGGAAAAAAATCTCTCCGTCTGATAGCCTGACCAGAAAGTAAGAAATACTCAAGAAAATCGCGTATAGCAGAAATTATGCGATCCGCTTACAGTGGGCATCCAGGGGGACATTTGACCAAAAGTCAACTTTTATTTTTCCAGTTTTTATTCTGGAATTTGATATCCCAGCTGTCTATCTCCAGCATAACAATTTTTTAACTGCAGAGGAACAATGCGAACACTCTGACTAAAAGCTGTTCAGAACAAGTGCAAAAGTAATCTTAAGGTTTTCATAAATCCGAATCAAATATTGATATTCAGAATAATGTTAGAGAGCGATCATGACTATTTTGCCTGCTTTCTGCAAAACAATGACCGAAATTGACTCAAAACTCGAAAAGAAAAAAGGATTTTCAAAAGGAACAAAAGTTAAACTAAGTGTGTAATAAAATGAGTTTCATACTTATTTCCAGCACAGACGTTCTTTCAACCGACTTAGCACAGATGTTCTTCCATTTATCGTACAAGCGGATGACCATTGGTTTTTGTACATTTCATATGATTCAGTTCGTCAAGTTCTGTTGACAGATGTATTAGATACTTTTTTCAGATTTTCCTATTTTTTCGTTGTTCTTCGCCGCCGCAGGCCGCCCACTTGTCCATCTTTCATTCTTTTTTGTATGTATAGCTGTTTACTCGCAAATAGTTACAGAGAAGACATAAGATCACCGATCAATATGTATCATGCTTGTTTATCATTATCAATTAAAGTCAGACTTCAGATAAATCGGTCACTCAAACTAATGGCAGCTATTTGATTTAAGTATTTTGTTAAGACTGAGCAATACCTTGTTCAGTAAGCATCAAGGCTGTGGTCCATAATAAGTCTTAACATGACTCTTGTTATTGCATATTTCAGAGCTGATTTCTGTTAAGTGTAAAGATCAATACGAGTGACAAGTGAAAGACAGAACATTCTTGATCATATTGTTCTACTGAATAAAGAAGATATATCGCTGAAATGGTTCGGGATCGCTACCCATGTAAGAAAAATTGTTCTTAGAATACATTAAATCAACCCGAAAAGAAAAAAATGTTTTTAATTCTACACCAGAATTTGATTAAGGATTATCTAATTATTCAATCGTTGTGATAAAATCAAAATAGGGATAATATTTGTTAATAAATATTTAATCTGCTCACTCAAATACCACTGGAACTATCAGTAGAAGTAAATGCGTTTTGATGAGTATCGAACAACAAGAGAAAAGACATATCGTTAAAAGAGAGTCGCATTGAAGAAGTAATAAAACAGTAGAGCGTACTATCAAGGAAATACATTGATTAATTTAAAAAGACTGATAAACTGAATGAAGCCATTAAATGGTATATAATAGATTGTCTTTTATGTAGGATAAGCAATAAAATATCACGGGCAGAAGATGGAGGACAACTTTCTTTGTGCCGAAGTGATCGCTCGATTTTTCTTTATCATACAACAGTCAAATCAATTTCGCATAACGTCGCAACAAATTTCTAAACACTCACACAAGACAAATACAAGAGGAGACACATAGATACATCAATATATTAAAATTTAAAATCAAAAGTGCTCCCTTTCACTGTTGAATTTTGTTGAATATACATGTTTCAACTGCTATATGAAAATCCTGTGTTTATCACAACAAATTTCATTGCACTTTTCCTTTTCATTTTATACATGAATATAAATGTCATTACAGTCATTATCAGTTAAAAGAGAAAAACAACCACAATAACATTTAGAGTGTCATTTCGCAAATAGAACGCGTTTTATACGATCTTAACACTTAATACACATCGACCTTTGTTTGTGTGTAATAGAAACACAGTTTTATTATCATCTTATTCAATTTCATTCAACGTGAAATGATTCATGATCCATTACCTCAAGGATTTGTCTATCTCAATACAATTGTACCCGATATACAAGTTAGTTTACGTTATGCAACTATCGAAAACTTTATGGGCACACATGCTGATGGATATTTGAAAAATGTTTCAATAATGACAGAACGAGCTGCTCTCGGTCTAAAGCACGTGCAAGAAATGCTCAGAAAAGACAACTGTGAATTGGTCATCTACGATACTTATCGTCCTCAAAAAGCTGTTGATCATTTTAAGAGATGGAGTCAAGACGTGCACGATCAAATAAAAAAGAAAAGCTACTATCCACGTATCAACAAAGAAGATGCGTTTACACTTGGTTATATAGCTGAGAAATCTGGACATACACGAGGAAGTACAGTTGATCTGTCTATTATTCCTCTTGGAGAAAAAGTGCACACCGTTGATGTTATCGATAAGAGTTTAAATGATGGTTTTCACATCTGGTTTCTTGATGATGGTACAGTGAATATGGGATCATCGTTTGATTTATTTGACAATGCTTCTCATACAAATAGTACTTTGGTTAGTGAAGAGGAACATCAACTCAGAATGTATTTAAAACGCATAATGGAACAAGCGAACTTCACCAACTATCCACTCGAATGGTGGCATTATACATTGAATAATGAACCCTTCCCTGAGACATATTTTGATTTTGATATCAATACAAATGATATCGTAGGTGTGAAAGAACAAGTTCAGCGAGATTTGTGAACACACTAGATTTTTATTATTAGTCATTACTTTCTTTACGAATTTGTATGTGAAAAATAACTGTTGTATTTATCGATAATTTTTGTATTTTTAATTCGTTTAATGGAACTGTGTCAGAGCAAATCTTTGTTCTCCATTATCCTGTGTGACAACCATGATGCAGCACACATATTAGGAAAACATAAGAATTTGGTTTGTGCGAACTTTACTTCTTTACTCATTTCGTTCCAACTGGAGTATTTGTTTCGATTACATGAATAACGAAGCACTAACATTCTGAACCGGATCAACGTTTAGTATCATAAAACATCACTATCGCACTATATAGCTTCAACAAGCACAGTTTACTTAGGTAAGGCGAAAGAAACAGAAAGAACTAAAGGAAAATACCGAGCTTAAAATGTCAAACTTAAAAAGAATGGTCCACATATAATGATACATGAACTCTGATCCAATGATTAGCGTTTCCATTTAGCTCTGCCAGCGAGCAATTGGTTTGAAAGACTTGTGTACCTTGACCAGAAGAGAAAACCGTCTTAGTTGACCAAATTCTTTCAGAACTTGACGATTAACATTTAATTTCTTTAAATGAATATTCTCTTCGATAAAAGAAAAGTGCTTTGTTTTTTTCAACCAGTCTCCCAGGCAAACATCACCTATGGGAAAAATCCAGATACATTTCGTCTATAATCGGGCGATACATGACTAGTTGTCATCTAGACTACTAGTTGGAAAAGGGACGGCTTACAGGATCTCGACTCTTCCATGAATTTTTCATAACACAGATTTGAGTATTTTTGGCAGTGTGTCGCGGGAGGTGGGGATGTTGGCAGTGTGAGAGTGAGTTCGAAAAATAGTTTCGTACAAAACATATTTTCATGATGCAAAACTGTATGTCTGTAATTGGATCACATAATGACTATTCACGCCATAACTCCGTTCAGGTTTCAAAACATGGTGTACAAAGTACAAAACCAGGCTCATTTATTCTTCTTTTCCAATGAACATGTCTTCGCGATAATGTCGTACGCGGAAATGTCAGTGTATCGATATTTTAACGGTTTCTTATTTCATCTCTGACTTTTCTTTCTATATTTTATCGACTCAAAGAGTCAATAGAGTAGATAGAAAAAACTATTTCAATCTACTCTATTGACTCTTTGAGCCGATAAAATATAGAAAGAAAAGTCAAAGGAGAAATAAAAACTCGTTAAAATGTTTTCATCTGTTTAAAATGTGAAGACACTATTTCAATTTACTCTGTTGACTTTTTGAGCCGATAAAATATAGAAAGAAAAGTCGAAGGAGAAATAAAAAACCATTAAAATAACGACACACTCACTACTTAATCTTACTTTCTAATAAATTTCCGTATGCATTAATAGCGAACGTTGAAGGTGCAGTAAAGCCGATAAAATGATTACGGTAACAGTTACCGTTGCATGTCTGCTAATGGACAAAAAAGAACTCAAAACAGATGCGTGGTAGTAAAGGTTTTTACCATCACTTGTTTCTTTTAAACACGAAAAAGTAAGTAAGAACTGTGAGTTGATGTTCCGGTAGTTTATTTATATTTTTTTGTAAATTAAATAAAAATCTGTAAACGATGAAACGTCCAATGTATACGATTGTAATTGGGTCTTGTCTAGTATTTATCCGCTGATATGACGTAAGTAATACCAGTAGGTAAGTGAGTTCTTTGGCCGTAACCTGGAGCTTCGCTATTAGAATTTCTGAGTGCTTCTAAATCATAATCTACTGAAAAATACCTTTTAATAGTCTCTCCAAGACGTGACTTTTCTCAGTAACTTATTTTCTAGTAACTTGGTTATAGACGATCAGTTTAGATGCTCAATCATTTCCAGTAGAAGTTCAGTCGGTAAAGAATCCATCGAAGTCATTATTATTCCTTTATCATTAAGGGCACCCCCCTCTTTTTTTACCCTCTTGGAAACTAGGGAAGCCGATGCTGGATCGGGTTCTAATTTATACCACAGATATAACATCGAAAAAGAAAATCGATGTATTTTTGCCCAGAATTTTCTGACGTGTTCTTCTATGGGTTTTCTGGAAAACTCCAGTTTTCATTGGCACACATTACGACTCCCCTCCCCGAAAAAATGGTCCGATCGCCCCCAAATTTTACTACAGATACTTCAGACCCTATCTCAGGTTTTTTTCCATTTCAAAAAATATTCTTCCCTTCTCGAGATATCCGCAAAATACTGAAAATCCGATATAAAAAACCGGTTTTTCGTTTTGAAATCTTCTCACGCCGAAAGTTTAAGTCGAAAATGCTTTTAAAAAAAAGGAACCTGACGGCTTGTCCAAGCGTGACGCTGTGACATTTTTGACACACTAATTTGAGCTTTTCTCAAAAAGTGTAAGAGCTAGAAACTTCGTTCTTGCGCCATTCGACGCAGCTCGCCATACTCTACTTTTGATATAAAAATGAAGGTATGTG